CTGGGAAGTTGTGGGTGCAGATCAGATAGCCCCAGAGCAGCCCTTGGTCCCCTCCCCAGGCAATCTAGGCACTGGGCATAGATTTCTGAACAAAGATAATTCCTGTGCCCCTGTCCCTTCCACGGTGGCCTCCATTCTCCTGGGAGAGATAAAGCAATAATAAAGTGAACTATTATACAATGTTAAAAAAAATAATAATAATAATGATGGAAAAGTGGGTTACATTAGGAAAGGAAAAGCAGTATTCTGGCATTGACTCTGGGTGGTGCTGCACCCAGACAGAAAGTGGGGAGTCATCCTAGACTCCTCTCCCCGCCCTGTCTCCCCACCAGTTCAATGGGGAGAGGTCTCGTGTCCTCCTCCACTCTCTCTTCTCTTTTTCTCCTCCCGTGGCAGCCATGTGGCCTGGTCTGCTCCCGCCCTCAGGCTGACAGTGATAGCCTCTGAACCAGGCTCCCTGCCTTAGGGCAGCCTCCACCCTCTGGCAGGATGCAGATCTGGACATTGCACTCTGCCCTCCCAGCCCACTGCAGCTGGGGCATTGCAGTGATTCTTTGAGGTGTTGGGGAGCTAAGGGAGGGGCATATTAGGGTCTCTGGGGGCTTTTGCACCCTCCACATCCCGCTTCCCCTAGACACTCTCTCATTACTGCTGCCACCTTGAGAGGTGTTACTTGGCCTCTCTCCAGCCACTTCCCTTCTTCCCCACTACCGCCAGTTCATTAGGCTGACATTTTTCACTGCTTACCCATGAAGACATTTTTTTGTACACGCTCTGCTTCCTGCCTGCCCCCCTCCCAACACTGCCTCCCTCCCAACACACATACACACATACACACAAACAACACACACACGCATGGTGAACCCCAGACCATCCTTCGGAGACGCAGTGCATCCAGGGGTCGGAAGCCCAGACACTGGAGCCTGATTCTGCCTCAGTTCACATCCTGGCTCCTCCACTAGCTATCTATGTGGCCATTAGCAAAGGACTTGATCTCTCTTTGCAAATGCAGTTGTTTGTGAAGTCCAGAGCTAGAGCAGTGCCTGGCGTGTGGTGGCTGCTCTGCAACTGTGTGCCATCCCTGTCTTCACACACCAATGCACGTGCTACCTGCTCCTGAAGCCACACTGCCTCTCCCAGGCTCCCGGTTGCTATACTTGGATACCATGGCAGCAAGTGCTATGTGCTGTGGCTTGTGGTCCCTGCCTGTCCCCTCTACAAGGCATGAGAACCTCTTGAGTGAGGACCTTGCCTGGCTTATTTTGGTATCCCCAGAGCCTGGCACAGGCCTGGGCAGAGCAGGGAAGGAAGACCCTTGCTTTGCTACTAATGACAGTTAAAGTTACCTGCCCCTTCAACCACAGCCCAAATTCTCTTCAGGAGCGTGTTGGTGGAGTACTTCAGCACCTGTGTACAGTTGGGCGTCTTTTGTATTCTCACTTCTCCATTATGGAATGAAATCGTTCAGCCAGTGGCCTGTTTTACTGGTGCTCTGAAAGAAAAGGCTGAATGAGACCTTTGTAGCCCACAGCTCTATGCTATGGGCTTAGCAGGAGCTCAGTAAGTTCTTTTTGGCAGACTCCTAGCAGGTAATCAATGCTTGGGCAGGGAGTCGAGTGCCTCCCTTCTTCAGGCCAAAGCTGAACAGCAGAATAGCTGTGGCTGTTATATATGTTAAGAGCTCCTGCTGTAAGCACTAAGTGTACTGTCAGGTCTTAAAAAATTGGTTTGGGTGAAATATTGGAAACAAATGTTAAACAGTGTGGGAAAGGTTAAGTACATTAATTGAATGAATTATGGTACAGCCATTAAAATAATTATGACTATTATAGAGCAGTTTGGAAAATTACAGAACACTAAGTAAGAAGCAAGAAAAAATGATGAAATTGTGTTTGTATTCCGATAACAACTATGCAACAATAGTTTGCATATGAACAGGAAGTAGAAGGAACGTGAAACATGAAAATGACTTTGCAAGGGTGGGTGTATCAGTTATCTGTTGCCAAATTAATGCGTAACAAGCACCACAAAACTAAGGGGCTTAAAACAATCATTTTTTATTGTTCGTGAGTTTATAGGTTTAGCTGGGTGTTTCTTTTGGTATGGCAGGGCTTAGCTGGTCTTGTCTGGGCTCATTCATACATCTGCTGTTGGCTGGTGGGCAGCTAGAGCTTGGCTGGTCTAGGATGCCTCGGCTAGGATGATAAGGGCTTTTCCACCATCTCTCACATCCCTTCTGCCACCTACCTGGGCTCGTTGTCATGGTGATGGAGGGGTCCAAGAGGGAAAGCAGATGTTCTCAAACCTTTTGAGGCCTAGTCTCAGGATCAGCATGCCATCATTTCTGCCACATTCTTTTTGGCCAAAGCAAGATAGAAGGTCAGCCCATATTCGAGGGATGGGGAAATAGGCTTTTACCTCCCAATGGGAGTTGCCACTAAGTTACATGGGATGTGGAAACTGGAGGGGTGGGGAGTTGGGGCCGTTTTAACAGTCGGTCTACACAGCAGGTACCTATTACAAAGAGCCCTTTCCATCTTGGAGAAATGATCAGTTCCAGACCTAAGGAATAAATATGCACAGTCAGCTTGGAACAGCTTGTTGTAGCTGAAAGCAAGGACATTATTGAGGACTACTGGAGTCATGTTAATAGGGCTCAGGAGACAACTCGAAGAGCTCCTTCTGCCCCAAATGGGGTCAGTTTGAGCATCAGTAAGAATAATTGCAACAGACTGAAACTCATTATATCTGTTTGAATCTATGAGTTCATAAAAATACAAAACCAAAAAACCCCCAAGGCCATACACCCAACTTGTGGCAGATGAAAGTTGGCCACGAAATTTTTGACACTGCTCCTTTCTAAAGGTGGATTCTTGGGGGCTGCCTGGTTAGCTCACCTGGGAGTGTGGTGCTGATAACACCAAGGTAAAAGGTTACTGGACAGCTGCCAAAAACAACAACAAACACACACTAATAAATGAAGGAGGCGTCTTTGTCTCCTTCCCGTGAATTTGGGTCGGCTCTCTGACTACTTTGACCAGCAGAATACAGTAAAAAATGATATGTGTCTGGGCCTAGGCCTTAAGAAATTAGCAGGTCCCACTTCTATAAGAAACTTGCAGGAGGCCTGAACTGCCATGGAGAGGGTGACCACCATCCTGAGACTGTCATGCCACAGTGGCCGTGTGCAGGCATGGTGCGTGGAAGTTTACAGCTGCACCTAGCCTTCCAGCCAGGCCTGCTAAGGTGCCAGACATGTGAACGAAGCCTTCCTGGACCCCCAGACTAGCACACCTGGTGGCTGAAAACCACCGAGTGACTGCGTCAGTGCTACGAGGAGCAGCAGAACCCTTCGCTGAGCCCTGCCCTGGGTCTTGACCCACACACCACGAGACACATTAAAGGGCTGTCGACCTAAGTTGTAATGTTGGGGTGATTTGTCACATGCTAGCAGACAACCACAACACAGCTCATTGCCCGCCCAGGGAGCGTGGTGGGGAGCCAGCTCTTTATTTTGAAAACTGATAAAGGGAAAGAGTCAAGCACTGATTCTGTCATTCTTGTATGAACTGTTTCTCAGGGTATCTAAAATGATGAAGGGAAGTTTCTCCTCGCAGAAATATTCCTGCCGATAAATGAAGGAAGAATAAAAAAGTAGAATATCACCATGAAAAAATGAATGTAAAATATCTCATCAGTAATCTCTCTATTTATTATATGTCAAAATGATAATATTTTGTTCTTATTATTAAAAAAAAAATTTTTTTTTGGCAGCTGGTACAGGAATCGAACCCTGGACCTTGGTGTTATCAGCACCATGCTCTAACCAACTGAGCTAACCGGCCACCTCCTCAAATGACAATATTTCATATATATTGGATTAAATAAAATATATTCTTTAAAATTATTTCTCTTTTAACTTCTTTTTAACTTGGCTTCTAGAAAATTTACAGTTCTAGATGTGGCTCTCAGAGGGTCTCATGTTACATTTCTATTGGACGGTGCTGCGCTAGGCCATGCTCATGAATCGCTGACATCCCCCTCCCCTGGGCTGCGTGTGCCTGCTGATGTCAGGACACGTGGGATGTGGCCTCAGCAGAAAAATTCACCCGAAGCCAATCATCCCTCTGGGTCTGACCCCTAATGTATAGGAAATTTGGGGGCCAGGAGACCATGCTAAATAAGGAACCTGAGGGAACCCCTGCAGGACAGTAACCAGTGTCCTCAACGATTACATTGCATAGGAAAAACAAAGAAAAGGGGGTGGAGAATGTTTGGATTAAAAGCGATGCGAGAGGCCGGCTGGTTACTCACTGGTTAGAGCATGGTATTGTAAAAGAGACGTAAGAGACGGAACAACTAATCAAAGGTCTGGCCCTAATTTGCACAAACTATAAAAAATATTTATCAGATAATTAGGGAAATTTGAATACTGATTAATATTTGATGATATTCAAGAATTACTGCTTTTTTTTAGTCATAATAATAGTATACAATAGGATATCACATAATATAAAAAGGAGTCGTTAACTGTTAGCGAGTCTTACAGAAATATTTTGGATGCAGTATCTGGGAATTGCTTCAGATTAAGCCAGTGCTGTGGGCATGCGTGGGGGTACAGACAAAGCGAGACTGGCCACATGCTGTCAGCTGTTGAAGTGGGATAACAGGGTTTCCTTACGCTTTTCTCTCTACTTTTGTGTGTGGTTGAGCTTTTCTATAATAAAAAGTCAAAAAAGGTTCCTTTTATCCTAGTGAATCAAAAGAGACCCCTTGGGTGCTCTAGACACCCTCTTTAGATTTGTGCTGTGGGGTGGTGGTAGGGTTGCAGGGGACAGAGACCACAGAGCGACAGGCCACCTGACAGTTTGCCTGATTTTGTGACTCAGCAGCTCCCTTGCGGGTACCAGCTCTTCCCTTCTGCATACCCCTTCCCTGTGGGGTTGGTGCAGACAGGGGTGTGGCAGGGAGACCATGGCTTTCTTTGCAGTTAGGCAGGAAGGGGATCCGAACCCTTGACCTTGGTATTATAACACTGCACTCGAACCAGCTGGCCAGCCCTGACAGTGACTTTCTTAGAGGATCAGAGGGAATCCGTTTCTCTTTCAACTCTGTTGTCCCTCCTCCCCAGTGAGCTCTTCAAGAATATGAAGTGCTGACTCAGGGTCCTTAAATAACCCCTGTCATTTCGGTTTTAATGGGTCCTTGACCTTCCTGAATTTGGAACTATTGCGCGAATACTGTGTGAGTTTCCTGACTTCACGGTCTGAGCGGGCCCGCCTCTCATTTGTTAGTTCGCAGCGTTAGCAGTAGTCAGTGTTACCACGCAGCAGTAAACATTTATTGAGCACCTCTGCTGGGCCAGGGTACAGAATCAAAACAGCTCCTGCCCTCAAACCGTCAGGTCATGGCCAGTCCCTGGACACATTCTGTGCCGCTGCGGGCTGAGCAGCCTGGCTCAGGTGCTGGGTATGTGGGGGGTACTGGTAGGGGATCTAGGGGGCGGACCTCCTGGTCGGGGGTTCGCTGGGGCTGTAACGAGAACTTCTACCACACGACATGGGCTCTGAGCACGTCCTTGCTGTGCTTGTCTTCTAGGATGAGCGTGCAAACCATCCGAAACGTATTTAGTGTGGAAACTGGGTATCGGCTCTCAGATGATCAAATAGTCAACCATTTTCCGAATCACTATGAACTGACCCGGAAGGATCTGATGGTGAAGAATATTAAAAGATACAGGAAGGAGCTAGAGAAAGAGGGGAGTCCTCTGGCAGAAAAAGATGAAAATGGAAAATACCTCTATCTGGGTTTGTGCTTTTTTTCTCTGGCTTCATTTTAGGTAAATAGTTGAGTGTTTTCCTTCAAGGGCACAGGCTGTGGGTGGTGGTGGTTTGCCGTGGTGGGTGAACATCTGTGGGTGTCTGTGTGGGTTGCGGTGAGCACATGCTTCATTTCAGTTGCCTGCAGAATGGAGGATGGGGTGGTCGGGTTTGGAATCTGGGTTTCTGTGAGTGCATGGGGGGCGGGGGAGAGACTTCCTTAGCTGCATACTGCTGCAGGGGGTCATCGCTGCATCTAGCCATACCCAGGGAGGTCAGTGTGTCCCTGTCCCACCTGGTGATGAAAGCTAGACTGTTGGATAGTTTCAGAATCTCTTTACATACCTGGGCAGAATTGTATAACCAACATCGCTGGGCCTCAGTTTTCTTATCTGCTAAATAGAATGATAACAGTGCCTACCTAGCTCACAGGTTGCTATGGGATTAAGTGATACAGGTTTGTTAAGTGCTTAGCCCACAGAGCTCAGTGAGGAAGTCCTCATTCTGTTATATGCTGGGTGGGGGTGGGGGTGGTGAGGCACACCTGAAAAGGCCCTGGCAGTAGCTTTCTGTCCGTGGCCACTGTTGGGCTGGCTCATTGCCAGCACTGGGTGTCCTTGCCTTTCAGACTTTGTCCCGGTCACCTATATGCTGCCTGCTGACTACAACCTGTTTGTGGAGGAGTTCAGGAAGAGCCCGTCCAGCACCTGGATCATGAAGCCTTGTGGCAAAGCCCAGGGAAAGGGTATCTTTCTAATCAACAAGCTCTCGCAGATCAAAAAGTGGTCCCGGGACAGCAAGACATCTTCGTAAGTGTCGGAAACCACCATTCTGTGTGCCAGGCCCTGGTTGGCAGCTTCGTGCCGTTCTTTGGTCTTTTGGCCATGAGCTGGGTGGCCCTCATTTGCTTCTACAGGTGTGCATCATTTGTCACATGGTGTCCCAACAGGGCTCCGTGGCTATGATAGCATAATCATTACAGACTCCCTGAGGGAAATGGGTGCAGGTCACGGGCAAGGGCTCACAAACTGGTGGGAGACCTGGACAGGTGGGGTGGTTCTGAGGCAGCAAGGCACATGCTCAAGACCCGGAGCTCAGTCCTAGGCTCCTGGGCTTGAATCACAATCTGACACTTACTGGTCAGTGCCTTAGATTCTTCATCTGAATAAACTGGGGACCTCCACAGCCCCCCTCATGGGGGTGTGGTGGGATGGAACGAGTTAACATGGGAGGGGGTCAGGGACACCTGAGTGAGCGGGTGTCAGGTCAGTGTGCTCCTGCAGTAGTCTGAAAGTCAAATCCAATGTCCTTTTGGGTCCACCAGCTCCTCTCTGCCTGTGCCATGTCCTTAGCTGCTCAGAAGTGCCTGGGAGCCACTGGAGCGAAGCCTCAGTGTGATCTGTTCCCTGTGGGCCAGGGTGGCAGAGTGCAGTATGTTTCAATCTGATTACACTAGCCTCCAGGTGGATCAGGCCCAAAGAGTACTTCCCTGAGTGGGCTCCAGGGGTTGTCCTGCAGCTGCTGGCACCATCCCCTGTGGTGGGGCTGGGGGTCCTCCGTGGATACCACCTCTTCTTTTCTCCCCTGATGAACCACTCCCATTTTATGAGAGACAGGCAGCTTGTTACCAACCAATTAAATGCGCCTTTGGTCTTTACCATTAATTTTTTTTTTTTTTTTTTTTTTTTTTTTTTTTGTGACCAGTAAGGGGATCGCAACCCTTGGCGTGGTGTTGTCCGCACCGCACTCAGCCAGTGAGCGCACCAGCCATCCCTATATAGGATCCGAACCCGCGGCCTCGGCACTCCCAGCGCTGTACTCTCCTGAGTGAGCCACGGTGTCGGCCCTACCATTAATTTTTTTTTTTTTTTTTGTGACCAGTAAGGGGATCGCAACCCTTGGCGTGGTGTTGTCCGCACCGCACTCAGCCAGTGAGCGCACCAGCCATCCCTATATAGGATCCGAACACGCGGCCTCGGCACTCCCAGCGCTGCACTCTCCTGAGTGAGCCACGGTGTCGGCCCTACCATTAATTTTTTTTATTAGACTTTATTTTTTAGAGCAGTTTTAGGTTCACTGCAAAATTGAGCGGAAGATACAGAGATTTCCTATATAACCCCTGCCCCACACATGCACAGCCTCCCCCATTATCAACATCCCCCACCAGAGTGGTGCATTTGTTATAACTGACGAACCAACATGGACACATCATCACCCAGAGTCCCTAGTTTACGTTAGGGTTCACTCTGGGTGTTGTACGTTCTATGAGTTTAGACACATGTGTAATGACACCTAGCCACCATTACAGTGTCATACGGAGCAGTTTCACTGCCCGCAAAATCCTCTCTGCTCTGCCTGTTCATACCTCCCTCCCCCTAATCTCTGGCAACCACCAGTATTTTTACTGTCTCCATAGTTTTGCCTTTCCCAGAATGTCATACACAGTAGTTGGAATCACACAGTACGTAGCCTTTTCAGACTGGCTTCTTTCACTTAGTAACATGCATTTAAGGTTCCTTGTAAGTAAGCAACATGCATTTATGTCGTCTCATAGCTTAAGAGCTCACTTCTTTTTAGCACCGAATAATATTCCACTGTCTGGATTTTTCAGAGTTTATTTATTCATTCACCTGCTGAAGGACATCTTGGTTGCTCCCAAGTTTTGGCAATTATGAATAAAACTGCCGTAAACATCCTTGTGCAGATTTTTGCATGCTCATAAGTTTTTAACTCCTTTGGGCAAATACTAAGGAGTGTGATTGTTGAGTCATATGGTAAGAAAGTTTAGTTTTGTAAGAAACCACTGAACTTCCAAAGTGGAAGTGTACTATTCTGCATCCCCACCAGCAGTGAACGAGAGTTCCTATTGTTCCACATCCTCACTGGCATTTGGTGTTGTCAGTGTTCTGGATTTTGGCCATTCTAATAGGTGTATGGTGGCATGTCATTGTTGTCTTAACTTGCATTTTCCTGATAACATATGATGTGAAACATTTTCATCTGCTTATTTGTCATCTGCAAATGTTCTTTGCTGAGATATTCATTAAGGTCTTTGGCCCATTTTCTGATTGGATTGTTTGTTTTCTTATTATTGAGTTTTAAGAGTTCTTTGTATATTTGGAATAACAGTCATTTATCAAATATGTCTTTTGAAAATATTTTTCTCCCACTCTGTGTCTTGTCTTTTTATTCTCTTGACAGTGTCTTTTGCAGAGCAGAACTTTTAATTGAAGTTCAGCTTGTCAGTTCTTTCTTTCATGGATTATCCGTTTGGTGTCGTATGTTTTTACATCTAATTTTTACTTTCTCTGACATGTTTAGGTTCGTGTCTCAATCTACTAAAGAAGCCTACGTGATCTCTCTCTATATTAACAACCCGTTACTAATCGGTGGGAGGAAGTTTGACCTGCGTTTGTATGTTCTGGTGTCTACATACCGCCCGCTGCGCTGTTACATGTAAGAATCCCTAGGGTTCTGTTGCTATCCTTAAGATTGTGTTTCAACCTAATATTTCTTTCTTTCTTTTTTTTTTTTTAAAGATGACCGGTAAGGGGATTTTAACCCTTGACTTGGTGTTGTCAGCACCAGGCTCTCCCAAGTGAGCTAACCGGCCATCCCTATATAGGGATCCAAACCCTTGGCCTTGGTGTTATCAGCACCACGCTCTCCCAAGTGAGCCACGGGCCGGACCTTAACCTAATATTTCTTACTCCTTAGCACCATTATGAGGTTAGTAAAGCAGTGTATATACTGTGCCTTGCACAGGGTAGGTATTGAAGAAAACATGTGAATCTTACAAATAAGAAAGCAGCTGTTTTAAAATCTTAAAACCAAAAAGTAGCTCTTTTTAGAGAAGGAAATGGTATGTTTATTAATGCTTCTTCTCAGAGTCTGAATTAATCTAAATTCCCGCCTAGGTATAAGCTTGGGTTTTGCCGGTTTTGCACAGTGAAATACACCCCGAGTACCAGTGAGCTGGACAACATGTTCGTTCATCTCACCAACGTTGCCATTCAGAAACATGGGGTGAGTATGTCTTTTCACTTATGCTTAAGGAAATGGACTGACTTTTTCTATCCAGCAAAAGAGGACAGGGTGGGTACAGGAGTGATATTCAAGGTATATCTTGACCTAAGGCCCTGGCACCGATGGGTGTGAGGCTCTAAGCATCAGGTGTGGATGTCTTGGGGCGCATCAGCTGAACACCAGTCTGGGGTGGGGGTCATGGGGCACTCGGAGAAGGAAGACCACAGGTTCAAGACCCTCCTTTCCAGTTCTGTGATTTTGGGCAAAGCAAGTCAGCTGGAGCCCCAGTTTCCCCATTTCTAAAGGAGATAATAGTACAATGGGGTTATGTCTTGATAAACCCATCATAAGGTGGAAATGTGTTTAATAGCTTTAACCTACCAAGCATTACAGCTTAGCCTTGCCTACCTTCAACATGCTCAGAACACTTACCTTAGCCCACAGTTGGGCAAAGTCATCTAACACAAAGCCTATTTTATAATAAAGTGTTGAATATCTCATTTAACTTAGTGAATACTCTACTGAAGGTGAGAAACAGAGTAGTGGTGTGGGCACTTGAAGTACAGTTTCTACTGAATCTGCTTTGCTTTTGCACCATTGTAAAGCTGAAAAATTGTAAGTCAGGGACCATGTGTGTGACCACACAGAGTTGTTGGGAGGACTGCAGGAGCTGACCCACAGGCGTAGCCATTCACCCATCAACAAATACTCACTGAGCACCTATGTGGGTTGGTCCCATTCTAAGTGCTGGGGTACAGTGATGGGCACAAACTACCTTGATTCCTGCTCTCGTGGAGCCTAGAGCCTCTGGGGGGAGACACTTATCAAATATTCACACTGCTGAATGTGTAATGACAAACTGAGCTGCTTGTCCTGAAGGTAAGGAGCCATCATCTAGAAGAGCATGGAGCAAGGGAATCCCCTAGTCTGGTGGTGCAGGAAGGCCTCCCCCCAGAAGTGGTACTCGAGCCAAGATCGGTAGTATGAGCAGGGATAACCTGCAGGAGGCGGGGAAAGAGCCCTGGGGGGGCACAGCGGGTGCCAAGGCCCTGTGGCAGGACGGAGCATTGCAGGAGCCGCACGGAAGTCAGCGTGCTGGAGCCCCCAGCGCGAAGGCAGACCTGCCGGCCCTTGCGGGTTCTGTTCAGGATTGGGGCTCTAATCTAGTCCTAACAAAAGCTGAAGTTTTCATTTCTTTATGAAGGACTCTTTCTTCTATTTGAATCTTGCTTGAATGGGAAGCCTTGAATACCCTGGTCTTTTCTATAATTTGAGGAGAAAGAGAGGGAGTATTGATATAAACTAAGCTTTTCTGAGTAACTGGCTGAAGAGTTTGGTTAGAGCAGGCTGGGCTTCATCCGGTGCCCATCACTTACCTCTGTGTGACTTGGGCGAGTCACCCCCACACCTCATGTCTGCCAACAGGAGCCACGCGTGGCTCTGCCTTGCTGGTCATGAATGGTCTTGTGTGTGAGCTGACCCAGGTCACCTGCCCATCAGGCTTTCCTGAGAGCAAAGCAAGTGAGTGTCATTGTCATACTTGTAAAGGGTGGAGTAGAAAGAATGACTCAGCCAAGGCCTTATTAACAAGAATTGGGAAATGATCTTTTGGGCAATTCAGCACAAAACCGTCAGCCTTTTGAGAAGTCTGAGCATCAGACCTCTTGTATCACATTTAGTAGAGTAGAAGGTGCGGGCAGGAATGGCAATGACAGACACAGGTCTACCTGGTGTCAGCGTCCCTGGGGACCACACAGAGTATCTTGGCATGCCAGGCCTCCTTGACCTGGGAGGGGTCTTATCAGAAGCCTGGTTAGCTGGGTCACTTATTTACATCAATAAGAAACAGAAGCCACCTTTAAAAATCCCCAGGAGGAGAGCACATGGGCGGTCACATGGGTGGTGCTTTTAAATTGTAGTGGGTGGCACAGGTGTGTCTTAGGTTGGTTTCCCCAGGAAGGAGACCCTGAGGCAGACATCAGTGTGCAGGAGGTTTATTGGGGCCCAGTGTCAGGAGCAACACCAGAGAGGTTGGGAGATGAGCGGGACCTGGCAGAGGGACAGTCGAGTTGTAACGCGGCTGCAGCTGAGGCCTCAGGTGACCCTGGGGGCGGGGGGATGCTGTGGAGCTGGGGTGGCCCTGCAGAGCTGTCCTAGAGGGAAGCGGGGGTCTGACCCTGGCATCACCTACTCATATCGTGCCAGCTGCACCCAGGGAGGGGTGTAACCTTGGACTAGGCACATCCCTTTAGCCAAGGGCCACTCCCAGGGACGGTCTCAGCTGGAAGAACGCATGCCTTGGTCTTGAAGGGGGATTGGGTAACACTCCACAGCATGTGCTGTCTAGTATAAGTGAGAGGTTATGAGAATATTAGCGAGCTGAGCATTTAAAAATGTGCACATAATAGGAGGCCCAGATCTCCATGGGGCAGGGGTCCCATCTGCCTCGTCACTGGGTGCCCCACACCCAAGAGGCACTCGAGAAATGATTGAGAAATGAAAGAGCAAGCATTGGAGTCCCCAGGGTACATAGCCCGAGAGGACCCCACCCCTTTTCCATCCCAGGAAGACTACAACCACATCCACGGGGGCAAGTGGACCGTCAACAACCTGCGGCTCTATCTAGAGAGCACCCGCGGCAGGGAGGTGACCAGCAAGCTGTTTGATGAGATCCACTGGATCATCGTGCAGTCCCTGAAGGCTGTGGCGGTGAGTGCCTGGCACAGGGATGATCTGGGCCGGGAGCCCGGGGAGTTGAGTGGGGAGCCAGCAAGCTGGCGAGCAGTTCTCAGGAGGTGTTCGGGAGTCGGGGATGCTTGGTGTTCTTTTGCTGAGAATGCCTGTTTTCACATTCCCAGTGCCTACACATCTGCCAGAGGCTGAGGCAGTTTCAGGAAGGGAGAGGGGCCAGCTTCCAGCTGGTGCTGCCCAGCGGGGGCCACGGCCAGACCCTCTGGCAAGGCCGCAGGCCCTAGATCCCCTGTGGAGGTGCAGAGTCCCCAGACACCGTTATCAGTTCTTCCTGTGCCCGCTGAATCCATAGTGGACATTTTGGCATAAAGCGATGTTTTGGAGACAGC